AATAAGAGTTTTCTTTCAAAATAAAGCAATTTGAGCTATTTTCAATACAATTTTGCTCTATTTAAATATAGAAGTAATTCGAAATTAATGTATTTTGTAAATATAATTGCTTCAATCATAATTTTAGGCTGAAATAAGGCAATTTATAATATGTTCAATCGATTTGGCTCGATTTTAAGTTGGGAATCAACCTAAATCAAAGTATTTCAACAAAATACTGGCTCTAATAAGAGTTTTCTTCTGTAATAAAGCAATTTGAGCAATTTTCATTCCAATTTTGCTTGATTTTAATAAATAATTAATTAGAAATTAATGTATTTTATAAATATAATTGCTTCAACCTTAATTTTAGGCTAAAATAAATCAATTTGTGATATGTTCAATTAATTTTGCTCAATTTTAATTTGGGAATCAACCTATAACAAAGTATTTCAACAAAATACTGCCTTCAATAGGAGTTTTCTTCCAAAATAAAGCAATTTGAGTTACTTTCAATTCAATTGTGATCGATTTTAATACAGAAATAATTCGAAATTAATGTATTTTATAAATATAATTGCTTCAATCTTAATTTTAGTTTGAAATAAAGCAATTTCTGATAATTTCAATCAATTTGGCTCAATTTGAGGTTAGGAATCAACCTGAATCAAAGTATTTCAACCAAATTAATTAAATACTGACTTCAATAAGAGTTTTCTTCCACAATAAAGCAATTTGAGCAATTTTCAATCCAATATTGCTCGATTTTAATACAGAATTAATTCAAAACTAATGTATTTTATAATAATAACTGTAGTGTTTTTTATTCCATTTGTTACTGTGCTAAGTGCTAAATAAATAAATAAATAATTCAGCTCTACAAGTTTCCTGCTTTCCGGTCGCTAAATCGGAGAGTACCTTGCTTTCCGGTCACTAGATTGGAGAGTACAAGTCACAAATCGACAGTAATAAACGATAATAAGTAATTGTCAAAAAATTAGTACTTTATTTAGTATTTTTTGTCTCTGAAAATGTTTTTTTATTTTGTATCCCAAAATTTGTCTTCATTACTTTTCTTTTTTGCTTTCACTCTTATTTCACAAACTGATCCAAATGAAATCAGTCACGACCTTTTGCAATAGCCCAATATATTTTTACCGATAATTTCTTTTTCTTCGTTCCTTAATAAATCATTTCTGATACCATCCTTTCCCTTTCCCGGCAAGAATGCTCTAAACCTCCTCGTGGTTCTTGCTGGGCAAATTATTTTTTGTTTTTTTATTTTTTTTTAACTTTTTGTAATACACATAACACAATAACGTTAAACATAATATGTGTCTTACCACAAAGACCTAAAATTTACGTATTAGGCTCAGTGCTTTTATATTAAACCTAGGTATCTATTTTTTTCATTTATTTTTAAGTAGATGTATAATTAAAAAAATGAAGTTTTGAAAAAACTAACAATTCTCTTCTTGAGGGGTGCAGATGCATATCTTTGCCTGGAAGAAACGCAATAAAACGATCATGATAAAATGATCATGCTCCAGGTACAGTCGACCTTAAACTTACGTGTATCATAAGTTGCCTACTTTCAATTTAATTTTTGCTTTATATAAAAGAAACAAAATCAGTTACAAAATTCGCATTATAACAGGGATCTGTATTTTTAAAGTACTTATAAAATATATTTTTTTAATTTAGTATGGTATACCGTTATCGAAAAATCTTAATAATTAAGATTTTCACAATTTATTCAATAAAAAAATATCTATTAATTTATTTAAAGCGGGATTATTATCCTGGTCTCTATTTACCTTTAAAGAAACGCTACAAACATGAAGAAACTCTTCAATTCTAAATTTGCGGCCAAAAACATTGAAATAAATGTAGATGTAATAGGTATACGCCAGCTTTCAGGGGGTCTGGAGTCTTAACGTAAGTTTCCAGGACTTTCAAAATGACGAGCATCGTGAATTGGGGTTAGAATCCAATTGTTTCAAAGTTTAGATTTGTACATTACCTTTCGAGGCGGTTTTTCTCACCGCCGAAATCTCTTTCCCCACATGGGAAAGTGATTTCGGCGGTGAGAAAAACACATTGAGGTGGGTTCGGTCCAAACTGTGGTAACAAAGGTTTATTTTACACTTTGGTGTACAAATTTGTGACTCATTCGTACAGGGATATAAATTAGACAATGTTTACAACATTTGATTTATTATCAAATTTAATATAAACAAATTAGCAAAACAAAGCGACTGCACGCTTCGAAGTACGAAAGTCGAATCCTGGATTCAAGATGGCGATTTCTTCCTATCCGGTCCCTGCCTAGGGCTGCCAACATTTCCGGCGTGGTCCACTGGCCCTAAGTTTGAATTCAAACCGAATCATCACAGTATAAAAAATACTATTTTGGCTGTAGTTTGTTGCCACCTTCAGCAAAAAAATTCTAAATTCCATAGTTTTTCACAAAAAAGAGGTCTCTTGGGTTGTTTCGATACAACTTACCGTTTTTGAGAAAATTTACTTTAAAAAATTCAGACCATAAAAAAATTAATATTAAACATTTTTTTATCCTACACCTTAGGAACTCCTAATTAAAAATTTCTATATTCGATCTTTGAATTCGTTTAGGTATATAGGGTGCGCCAGAACTCGCGCCCCAGAGAAAAATGCCACCTTTCAAGTTATCTCCAATTTAAACCCCATAAAAATCCGTGGCAAATAACAGAGATATTAGACAAAAAATTTTTAGGTGGGACACTCTGTATATTACGTTTATGTGTCAAATAAGTTCATTGCGTGCTAGTGTTCGCAATGCCAATGATGAAACAAGCTGATGCATTCTTGACGACTTACTATTACTTTTGGACTTTTTGAAATTTTTTTAGTGCATTTGATTTGTCTCACTGAGACGAACAAAATGATATAAAATTTGTCAAGTTGTCACGACATGACTTTTTTTGTCGCCCTGTGTTATGGGTGTAGAAAAAGAAATAATTACAAATTTTACAAACATTTATATTCTTCTACAACCACATTTTACATTCATAGTAAACAGTACCAAAACCTAACTTTCTAGTACTATTGAACCCACTATCATCATTTTCAAACACACTGAGCAGTTGTTTCGCCTATATTGCGGACGATTACAGTTGAAGCTCTTCTGGCAGCCATCCAGTTCGAGGCTCGACGGCCAATAGCGCCCAGTCATACCTTTTCCTCTCCATTTGCAGGATACGATGAGCGAACGAACTGAAATATGACCACAGAAAATAATTGCCACTAAAGAAACTTCGTAATTGATAACGTTTGCTGCTTTCAAAGAGATAATTACTTGGAGCGGGTTTTATTAGATGTTATAACAATTTTTTTATTATATCATAATCCTAAACTAAAACACGCTGCAGCGTGCGTAATTTGGCCTTTATAGTATGCTGAATTTTAAAGTTGTCTAGGTAACAAGAAATAGTGAAATATCAGGACCGATTATAACGTGAAAAAATGTGCTTAACAACGTAAACTAGTAACAGTCTCTACGAAAACGATTCACAAACAACCTTTGATAATTTTATTGTGTAAATTCACATTTTTCCAATTCTCATAAAAGATCGTAAATGGACAGGTATTATTTTTATTTTTTACAGCCGCCTAAAATTATTTCACATAAATGTCGCCAACCGTCGCAAAATTCTCCAGAAAAACAAATTATTTTTTTTTAACTTATAAAATGATATAAAGCAGCAAAATAGAAAAAATAGTATAACGCACTTGTTGCAGAAGGTTCTTCATGCACTCACTCGCCGCTACGCGGCTCGTTTCGAAATTTATAATTTGTGATTGAATAGATACCATCTGCAACTTGTACTTTAATATACTATTTTCTATTCTGCGTTTAGAATAAGTCTATTAAAGCACCCATATGACGTCATTTAAGTGCTTTAATAAGCTGTTGGTGTTAATTTAATTTTAGTGACGGACCTTCTTCACTACTCATTTTCTAATGTGAAAATAAAAATTATTTTTATTTTTCACAGCCGCCTAAAATTATTCCACATAAATGTCACCAACTGTCGTAAAATTCCCTAAATTTAAAATAGTATATTAAAGTACAAGGTTTATTCAAGCATAAATTTGAAATTCCGAAACGAGCCGCGTAGCGGCGAATTGAGGAACAAATGAGTGCTTGAAGAACCTTCCGCAACAAGTGCTTTATACTATCTTTTCTATTTTGCCACTTTTTTTTTATAAATTAAAAACCGAAAGTTTTACTTTTTTTCTAGAGAATTTTGCGACGGTTGGCAACATTTATGTGGAATAATTTTAGGGGGCTGTAAAAAATAAAAAGAATTCTTATTTTCACATTTGAAAATAAATTATAAAGGAAGTCCGTCACTAAAATTAAATTAACGCCAACGACTTATTCCAGCACTCAAATGACGTCATTTGGGTGCAGGAATAGACTTATTCTAACACCGAAATAGAACATTTGTCTTTCTATTTATAAAATGATATAAAGCGGCAAAATAGAAAAATGACGAAGGTCTGGCGACCGGAGGCGCTTGCCCGCTCACTCCGTTTGGCAAACTAAACGTTCATCTTTGTCACAAATTACCTTATTATAGCAAATTATATTAGTCTACATTTCATTTTAAAACAAATATAAAACATATATGTTTTGAAGATAATGACTTAATGAGTACCTATTTAATATGTCCAACAAAAAAAATTAACGGTTTTCCAATACTGTTATGTTTTGTAATAGTATATTAAAATACAAAACGCAGAAACACGAATTTGAAATTCCGAAACGAGCAACGAGTGTTTTATACAGTTTTTTCTACTTTGTCGCTTTATATTATTTTATGAATTAAAAGACAAAAATTTTAAATCTAGGGAATTTATTTAGAATAGTTTTAGGCGGCTGTGAAAAATAAAAATAATTCTTATTTTCACATTTGAAAATGAATAGTGAAGAAAATCCGTCACTAAAATTAAATTAAAGCCAACGACTTATTAAAGCACTCAAATGACGTCATTTGAGTGCTTCAATAGACTTATTCTAAATGCAAAATAGAAAAAAAAAATTAAGTATATGTTAGTTATACCTTACGTACCGATACGGTGGTGACTGTGCACGAATTTGCCCTCGGTCGGAACATAATGGTACGCCATTTCCTTTTAACTTGGGCTATAACCTAAAACCAATTTCCACACATTACACGTAGATACTTATATCAATAAAAAGATTTGTTTTATTTTATCTAAATAGTTATGGGAGAAGAATTAGAAAGCAATAAAATGTGTTTTTCAAGATTTTCAAGAAAAAAAAATTGTAAAAAATAATCATGTTGTTTATAGGGTCATTTATAATAACGACGCTAACCGATTTTCAGATGCATGCCAAAATACATTCGACAAGTTATCTGGCTCTTCTTGCGTTTCAAAAATTTGGATTATAAATTTAAATCAAAGCATTTCTTAATATGCCAATTCATTAAAGACAGTGTCATCCACTTTTTGCTATTTTTCTCTTTAAATCGAAATATTCTCAAACGACGAAAAACCAACATGGTCATGATATTTGAAAAATGCTACAAAAATGCTGGGGCTGAAGGTACACCGTAAAACTCCAAATTATAAAAACTGTCAAAGCTATCACAGATTTTTATATTTTTATAATTATAACTTTGAAAAATTTTAAACTGTACATCAATTAACGCATAGTGGTATCTGAGAATGTCTTTATTATACAGGTTGCGCCAGACCTCGCACCCCAGAAAAAAATGTCAAGTGCCGGCGGCAATAGGTCACCAAAGAGTGCAGCCGAAGAAGTAACCTTTGTTTGCATAAAAAAGTATTAAACCTTTAAATCTACCAATCCCAGAAAGACACTTCAAAATGTGATTGAAAAATTGTATCCGTTGCTAGGTTACAAAAATGATACCAATTTGCCCCAAACTTTAAAAAAATTGCTGGTTTATTATAATTTTGACATTTATTAATTTCCTGTCATGTGTTGACATAACACGCTATTTTCGAATATTTTTTCTAAGTTTTAACCAAGTAATGAGCCGCTGATTATTTGGAAATGATAACCATTTTTGAAAAGTGTTATCGTATCGCCAGGGAGGCGAATGTTTTCCTGACAGAAATCACCCATACTATAACGTCATATTGAGGACCATTGCCAGGGTGCAGGAGCAGCCAAGTCCTACCAGACCGAAAAGAAATTAGAGGTGTTTCCAGAACGGCGCGCATAGTTGCAAATGAAGAAGCTATTCTTGATTTTTTAAGATGAGACTAGATGCATCAGAGAAGTTGTAGTCATTATAACTGACACACTCGTATTTGAACAGAGAAAAATCCACATGCTGTGTTTCCGGAAGCATTTCAACAATGATTTTCAGTAAGTTTGTAGACTGTTAAGCTGTGGCGGGTGATAACCTCTTTTGACCCTCTGTGAATTGTTATCTCGTTTACACCCTCATTTGTTAATTTATCCTATCGCAATTGCGTTTTTGGCCCTAAGACACTCCTCCACTATTTTCTTATGCACACGCTGTTATTTTTAATTTACTTTATGTCGATTTTATGTGCTTTAACAAATGTCTGCGATTTATGTCTTAATTTCTTTTATAACCTGGTGTGTCACTAGTCGGTAATGTTACAGTAAAACTAAAGAGTTATTATCCGAAAGTCAGCGAACAGTACTCGTACGAAAACATCTAAATTTTACCCTGACCACAACACATCGTTATTTGAACTTATCATTCCCAAACGTAATTTTAGTCCTACTGACTGCGCCAATTCATCTGTGGTGGGTGATTAACTCTTTTGATAAAAGTTGTACTCTTTTGCGGTCCGAGCGGGTTGCGCCACAAAAAGAATAAATTTATTTGAGGTAGGTTCTCCAGCGTTATTTTGTGGAGCCAATCAGTTTGGGAAAGATGAAGGATTTAAGCAGTCAGAAATCCAAGTATTCAAAATAACAATAACAGTTTATTAAACAAATTAAATCTTAAACAATATTATAAAATAAAATAAAAGATGAAACATTATACTTCTTAGTTCATACCTAATTTTACTTATCCCGAATTAATGGAGCTATTGATTAACTAAATAAAGTAATAGTTTAAAGCGAACGATCAACTTAATTCAAATCCTACTAACTAAGTCAAATAATGTTTAATATGAGCGAACAATCCATTCAAATTCTACTAGCGGAGTCCAATGAATAACTAACTTCTGAGATAAATAATCTATCAAGTAATATCAAGTAAAATCAAGTGAATTAACAATTATTACTAAATTCCAATGCAAGAGGAGAAACAGTTCCAGGAAAGCATCAGACATTCAACAGCCAGAAACCATGGGGGTTTCGAAGTAAGAGCTGTCTGACACGAGACTAATTTCAGTACTGAAATTGCGCGCGCAACTTTTGTTAGCTTGGATGCAAGAAAATAGAACCTGTTTTAATTTCTTGTATGAAAGCTTGCTAAAACTGCGCACTAAAAATCATTGACATCCAACTAATGGACTGCGCTTGGCCAATACGCGCTATTAGTGTGACGTCAGTGAGGTACGTGACTGTACCTTTGAAGCTACACTAATAAACATACTTTGTTACCAATGCTTTTCGTATGGACGTAAAAAAAGTTTATTTCTTGAATCCTGGACGTATAGGGAGATTATGTTTCCAAGGAAATAGTTGCTATGAAAAAATCTGTGTCGTTTCGTAATGGTTTTAACAAACGTAGTCAACAATTCTGTAAGTTAATCTGTTCTAACCTCACTTTTTGTGTAATGTGTACTTTAAAGTATATTTACAGAGTTGCCAGAATGTTGCAAACGACAGAGTGGGTAGGTCGTACCAAAACAAAATAAAAAGTATCAACATTCACACACTGTGTATTTGGCTGAGAATATAGATTATTATTTGTTTACAAGTCAATATAAATATCTAGTAAAAAAAAAACTAGTATCAATTTGGTACTATAATATCACAACTGGCAACACTGTATATTTAGTTTCAGTACAGTCGCGTCTGTGACGTCACGTCTAATAGCGCGTATACTTACGCGTATAAAAGCTGGTGTCAACATGGTACCAATTCGCAATAGTGGCAGAATGCATTGGAACTTATATGAAATACAATTAAATCTGAAAATTAGTTTTAAGAGTACCTATTATAGTTCAATTTGTTCGGGTCATTTTAAGGGAGTTTTCATCAGCTTTCCCTATACTTAAATTTAGCCGTTTTTGAAATATTTGGAGTTTTTTAAAAATTTTTGGACCTGCACCTTCCATTTTAAAAATCGGTAACTCTGCCATTTTTTTAAATTTTGAATTCGTTTTTTTTGGCGCTTGAACGAGAAAGTTTAGATCTTTCTTCCGGTGTTTTATTTAATAAACTCTAAAATTTTAAGGTTACTTTTGTAATAATTCAAATACCCATAACTCAAATTTTCTAAATGAAATACCCCAATTCTTATTTTACAAAATGGAAGAGAATTTAATTCTGCATCGATCTGTATTAATATTCCCTATACCACTGTAATGTTGGTTGCATCGAAAATTTGGTCAGGCTCGTTATTCCTCGTGAATCACCTGTATTACCACTTTGTGTGTGGAGATTGCAAAAATTTGTCAATAGTGGAGGTATCAACTTTCCAACGATAATGCTGCCGACACTGCAATGTTTCTCGCAGGAGAATATGGGATTTTCATTTAAATATGAAACAATTTTTGTTTGCAAAATGTAGTCTACATCTTGCATAGGCACACTGAATATTATTTCCAAAATCACTTCTATGACATTCTCAATTAACGCAATAAACTTTTCAGATGGATATTTGAGATTTCCACTGTCTTGGTTATAAATTAATTCCAAGAGGGGACTTGTTCTTGACTCAAAATAATTGGTTAAAGGTACCAGACAAGCAGTACATTTTACAGTCTCCTCAACTTTTCTTAAGAAATATCCACAGAGAAATCCAATTGCCCCAGATATAATCGAAATAAAACCTATAAAATTTTCTGTGAAAGTTCTCAACTCCTGAAGTTTCTTAATTGTTGTAACAGGTAGGGTATGTGGTGGACCAAATTGACCCACCAATTTTATTGTAAAGAGAAAAGGAAAGGAACAATCAAATTAACGAGAGAAGACAACGATTTAATTTATATAACAATCAACGTAAATTAATCTATTTAACTTTATCATATAATATTGACCAAGTATGTCAGCAATAAGCAATTAAAACACATGTCCATCCAAGAGTTACGAGACAACCCTCATAAATCCCAACAGATAAGAGTTTTAGCAGATACAAAGGTTCCCATGAACAACGACCAAAACACGTGTTATTC